TAATGCCAACGTATGATGTTTGCCATTATGGCAAAAAAGGGGAAGAAGCTAATACCAGACGGAGTTACCTATATACAGCTTCCCTATCACAAGCGATGGCCACTTTTACTTTAGAAGAAAGATACTAGTGTGTCAGAAGCAGGACAGAGGAAGAGTTGTTGATGAGACTTCAAGTAGTCTTGACCTCCAAACTACCTCAAGAATTTAAAATCGAGATTCAGACTGCTCCCTGACTACTGACCATGTGAACAGCATTTCAGGCAGAAACACAGAGAATCAAGAATGAGATTAAACATAAGCATTAGGTTCACCAGTGCATTAACCAACAGAAAACACCCATAGACTCTTCTTATTGGAAAGATTACTAATGATCTGAACTTGGGCTGGCTCCACGAAAAATCCACAAATTAGATGAGAATAAAGACTGAGATGGACTGCCCTGGCTGGTGTGGCTCAGTGGTTGAGTGCCAGCCTAAGAACCAAAGGGTCACTGGTTCGATTCCCAGTCAGGGTACATGCCAGGGTTGTGGGCCAAGTCCCCAGTGGGGGGTGCGTGAGAAGCAAGCACAAATTGATGTTTCTCTTCCTCCCTTCCCCCCTCTCTAAATAAAATCTTTTAAAAAAAAGACTGAGATGGACTATAAAGTCTGACTGAGATGGACCAGTAAGCATTAGTAATCCATACTAACCAACTAGCAAGATCAACTTACACTGGAAACTTCGCTTAGCACAAGGGGAACTGACCCAGTCTTATAAATAAAAAAGTTTCTCTGCAGAAAGGGAAAGAAATAAATTATTAGAGAAAGGTAAAAATAATAATTATTCGCACAGCATTTTGGCACAAAATAAAAGCAGATAGCATGAAGTAACAGATTGGAGCCCTGGATCATTTCCCTCTCTAGTCTCATTTCTAACTTTGTCAGATTACCAGTGAGTTTCATTATTGGCTCCTGACACCCTGAGCTACCTTCTTCCAAGCCTCAACAGCTTAGGGACAGTAGTAATTTGGTCATTACACAACTTTTGAAAATTTTAGCACAATGAACTATAATGAATATTAGTGTATTTGATCATATACTCATAAAAAGTTTATAGTGTCTTAAGGCCAAGGACAGGATATCTATATTAAGAAGTTTATGCATCTGTCTCTTAATTCTAAACATAGACAAGTTTTTTTTAAGCTTTTATTTATTGATTTTAAAGAAAGAAAGGTGAGGGGTGAGTGAGGGAAAGGGTGAGGGAGAAAGAGAGGGTAGTGCAGAGACTGAGAGACATCCATTTGTTGTTGCACTTATTTATATGCATTCACTGGCTGATTCTTGTATGTGCCCTGATTAGGGACATACCTGCAACACTGGTCTATTAGGACTATGCTCTCCAACCAACTGAGCAACCTGGCCGGGGCTGACAAGTTATTTTAACAGAGAATTATAGTAACAAAAAAAATCTTTGTGAATATTTAAAAATATTTGTCTTCAAAGTATAATTCTTAGGTCTTTGAAGTCTATGTCTAATAAGTATATAAAATGTAGACACCATTCCTTTAATTACCATGAAGTCACAGAAAAAAGGCAACTTAGAGCCATGCTCAGAATACGAAATGTTTCCTACAAGATTAGATTGTCTTTTGTTATTTCTCTTTCTTCTTTTCTCTTCATTTCATAAATATATGCAGGCACATAGCTTTTAAACAAGAGGCCATTTGATCAGACCACTTTTGATCTGACATAAGCAACAAAAGATATAAAACTTTTCTCTTTATTACCAATGTGTGAACTCTAAACTCAGCTAACTGTGGACTCAAATGCTAGCTTTGGGCCAAATACATGGTGATGGAAGATGACCTGATTCTGGGTGGTGAGTGCACAATACAACATGAAGGTCATTTATCATAGAAATGTACACTTAATACCCATGTAATGTTATTGGCCAATGCCGACTCAATAAATTTAAAACAACAACAAACTAACCTAAAAGCTCCTTAAAACTTTTTTAACTAGCTTCTTAGCTGGAAAAAACAAAAAAGAATGCTGTAGAGCAAATTTAGCCATTAGTAAGCTAAGAAACCAGGCAACAGCAAAATTACCATATTATAAAAAAAGTGATACCAAATTAGTAAAGGAAAATGTCATATTTTTTAAAGTTCCTCTTACAGTCTAACATTTACTGGCTGGCACTGTGCTGAGAACATGGTAGAGGAAAGGAAACTGCAAAAACATTTAAAAATGTTTACTGACATAGAAAAGAATATGCCTCATTATTTTTAGGTATGGGATTATTTTATTACCACTTTTTCCGATTGATTTCTAAAAACCTGTACACTGATATACAAACTAAAATTTTGTGGAATTCTCTTTTCCTAAAACTTCTAAGATTTAAAAAATAATCTTAGGGTACTAAAATAATTATAATGTACTAGCTCATCAATGTTTTGTAATATACTAGCTCAAAATGTATTTGCAAGAACTGAAAACTGACTTCAGATAAATTGAGAAGAAATTTTAATCTTAAAATAATTTTCTCACAAAGGAATAACTGGCATTAAAATCATAAAACCTTGAGTGTACACAGAATATAAAATAGTTTTAATTCAAAATGAGAACTGGTTTTGTCTTTTAAATTAAAGGCAACTATTATTTCAACAATGTAGGACTTATGTCATGCTTATTGAGATAGCTGTTATCAGGGATGAGATATTAATAAAGATGGTAAATGAAAAATATTTGTATATTCTTTATATAATGATTGTGAACAAGTTAAAAGACATACTCAAAAAAAGGTAGAAAAGCAATTATGAAAGTTTTTTTTCTGTAGAAAAATTTTATCACAGCATGAATACCACTAATGATTTAGCAGGAAGCATTAATTAGCTAGGAAAAGTTGGCTAACTTAATAGCAGTGGTAGCCAGTTAGGATTCAGGAAAACAGGTTTCTAATATATGCCCTATCAACTGAAATAACTACTGACAGTAGTAGATCAATGGAACTAAGTTCACATATACTACAACTAGATCATCAGGCTTCAAAGGCAAGGACTGTCAATTACTGCTGTAACACTTCAAAGTATATTTCTTAGGTCACATCACCTCTAAAATGGATAAAAGTACCCCATCCCAGAGCTATTTCCAGCTGAGTAAGATAATCCACATAAGGTGCTTAGAACAGTGTCTGGCACAGGACTGTTTACAAAAATGCCTTCGACTTAACAATAGCTTGCCATTACCACTACTGCAACCCTGAACAGTCCAACCATCTGGCTGTTTCCTTCTGTGTAAAACACAGGTTTGAGTTAGATCATTTCCAATGCTTGTGCCCATCTAAACTGAAAATCTATAAGTAAAAGAATATATAGGGCCAACTCTATTTCCAAAGAACATAAAATTATAATCTTTTATGCTAGCACGATGAAGGGCATGGTCATTTAAATGCTGCCAAAGAATCATGTTTTTTAAGTAACCCCTTCAAAATTAGTTATATTTACTATATTTATTAAAACCAACAGGAAACCACAGGAAATCCATGATCTCCCATCAGTAATCCTGTTCAGCAGCTACAATTATTTTTATTTATTTATTTTTATTTTATTTTAATTGTTGTTCAAGTAGTTTTCCGTCTTTTACTCCCATCCCAGCCCACGCCCCAGCCCTTCCCACCTCCCTCCTCATTTCCAGCGCCCCCCCCGTTTTTGTCCATATGTCCTTTATACTTGTTCCTGTAAACCCTTCCCCTTCTACAATTCTTACAGAAAGTATAATAGCAAAACTGTCATAACCAATATGAACTTAAATAAAAGATGACTGTCACTAAATAACTCATGTTTTAGTAGTCTACTTATGGTTATAATTTTGTCTTTTACTATAGAGTATCTAAATATATTAATTTGGTGCCCACGACAACTTCTGAGAAGTCCTAATAGGAATCTCAAAGTAAATAATCCTAATGTGTTCTTTTTTCCTTCCTTTTTTTAAAAGATAGGAATATTTATTTCTCCTACTTAATTTATAAGTACAGAAAATGAAAATTTTCAAATATGCAAACCAGCAAAAAAGAATGTGATACTGCTTTGAAACCACCCAAAATTTACAGGTCTAACAAAATCTCTCTGCTGATGTTACAATTCAACCTTCAAATAACAGGCAAACTTTTTTATTGCAAGAACATTAAGATTCTTTTTAGTGTGACTCAAATATTTTTTAAAATCAAGAGTTTCAGAAAAAATGGGGGATAACCATAATAGCACAAACAATAAAATTAAATTAGAGTTTTACCATGACATCAAAATTAAAGAAATATTTTCCATGTTTCTTGGGACCAAACTATCGTTATCTAGAGACAATTAACTATGCACTAATCCAAACAAATACAGAGTTTTCAATAACAGAGTTTTTTTTTAATATTTGGAGAGCTCTTCTTCAAATACTCTTAGAGATACTAGTAAGAAATTTCAAAAGCCTTTTTATACATAAAAAATTAGTAAAGGTGTGTGAGACCACTGAAAAGAGGTTATCTAAAAATTTAAAAATGTTTTCTAGATAATAAGACAGCACTAGGAAAGTTCTAGCTCACCGCCAGGTACTAGAATGGTGAGTTAAAGGAATTAAATTACACTTGTTCAACAGAGGAAATGTTTGGTTACCTTAGCTCTTCATGTTAAAATAACATGAAATGCATACACGCACACACACAAATGTCTGTTAAAATCTGACAATTTCATAAACTCTCAAAGCAGAAAGCATGTGCATCAGTCAATACTCGTCTCATTTTTAGTGTAAGTAAAGTTAGTACTGTGTGTAAGTTTTTTAAAGAGAGATTTTTCTTAAATTCGTGGCTAACTACAGCTTCATTTTCATAAACCCTTATCTTTCACAAATAACCACACTTCATACTTGGCACAATTTGCAGTCATTTAAGAAAAATTTTAGTTTTACCTTATAACTAGGTTCACGTAAAGTAGTTGTATAAAGCTCAAGCCATAAAATGAATCTATACTCTGTACTTACCCTCAATACTTAGCTCAAAACAAACGTGGCAGAAGGAGAGTGTCTCTTTCTCTGTTCCCAGTTTACAAACACTGCAAATGTTGTCATCATTCAAATCAATGTTTACAAAGTGCTCCTCCTCGTTCATAGTGCCCCTATTAATAAACAGAAAAGGAAAGTTGACGCATTTTCAAGTACTTGCCCTTAGGGCTTACAGCAATACTAGGAACTTCCAGGAAGAGAGGGATGCTGTGAAATTTATCTAATGCAACAGCCCATCAAACAAGCATCGCCAAACTTGCACTTCAGTGTGCAAAGACACAAACCTAGTAACACTTAAAGCCTTGCCATAGGTGATACTACACCCAAGGGCTTTTTTGGGTCCTACATTTCATTTGGTTGAGATGGGTGTCTGAAAGAAAGCGATTGGCGGGGATTCTAGTCCGCCCCTCCATCCCCGGAACGCACGCACAAAGAACAGCAGCGAGGCCTTTTCCGCTGCCGGGGTCTGTCAACCTACTTCGCGCAGTTAAATGAAGGAAAAACGACCTGTTCCGGACCCCGCTTTGTTAACTTCATTGTGTTAGATGTGTTTCGCTAACTCGGCGTAGTGAGGCTTCCCGTCGGAGATCAGCGGCGGGAAAATGCACGTGGAAACGCAAACACCGGGGCAGAGCGTCCCGCCCGCTTCCAAAGCACCCCAGGGTCAAAAGCCCGGCAGCTGCTCCACCGTGCAGGTCAGGCACCGCCAGAGGCGGGGTGGCCAAGTCCGGCCGGGAGGAGCTCCCGGCCGCAGGTTTCCCTCGCCCTGGGTTCCCGCCCACTCAGTTAAAGTCCGGGGACCAAGGCTGTGCGTCTGCCGGACTCGGCGCCTACGGGAGTCGGACAGAAGCCCAGCCTTCGACGTTGGGAGCCGCGTCCGCTGCTCAGTGGCGGCGGTCCCGAATGCATCTCCCTTCCGTCCTTCTGGGAGTTCGAGGGAACGCAGAACTCGGAGCGCTAAGCCCGCGAGACCGCGGCGAAAGCCGGTCGGGGACCAGAAAGCAGGATCCTTACCGTCCAACTCCGCGCGCCGCCGCAGCCGTTCTGTGCGGCTCTAGCTCCTGCAGTATTGTTTCCGGCCGCAGCGGAGGCGGCCGCCGCGCGCCTGGCCCCGCCCACTCCCGCCGGTGCCATCCTCAGAAGGCTCTGGGGGTGGTGGCGGCACTGAGGCCGTAATTGAGCGCTGGGACCATGGCCGCGGGCCTCACGCCTGCCTTCTCCAGCCTCGACACCGCGTCTTCCACTTGCATGCCGTCCTGATTTCTCGTCACTTCTCCCGGGTGTCTTAGCGTTCTCTGGAAAGTGGCGCTTCGCACGCCCCCACCTCCGGCCAGCAGATAGACCAGTCCATTACCACCTTTCCACTCGTAGTGGAAACTCCTGCCCCGGGGCGGGGGCCACTGGCTGCGGGGGCGGAAAAGTGAGGAGTGGATGCTAGAAAAGGACAGAGCTGCGTGGGGCGGACTTTATTTGAAAACAGTAGAGTGAAGCAAAATAGTCCCACTGAACTTTTGAGTTGGATGGCAGTTAGAGTATATAATGAGGGAAAAGTTCATATTTCAAGTTTCATAACTGAAGGGTAATACTGAATACAGAATCCTATATATTACAGTTTATTTGAAATGGGGCACCCCTCTCTTATAATATGGCACATTCGTTGCACGCCCACTGGGGCAATCCCGGAGCCCCACCTCTTAATTTAGGTCCCGCTCCTTTTACAAATTGGGGAATGAAAGATCTCATCTTGTTTTGATCCTTCTACGTCATTTTTTTTTTTTTTAGGTTAGAGTTCACGTAACTGCTTTCACTTACATTTTCTGTTGTAATCTTCACGGTAGTCTAAAGAAAGGAAACTGGAACAGTTCTGTCATTTTGCAGCCTACAGGTGGTAGCCCAGATTATCAGAAATCGAGGGACCTTGAACCCAAGGCTGCCGGTGTAAAAATCAGTTATTTTCTAGAGCATCACATGCAACTTAACTGGTTACATTCACCCTATGTATACACATCTTAGTATTCAGGCAAAGACTTAAAGAGACTCCCAAAATCCTTTTTATGTATACTTCTTTCTTTCTAGCACCCCATATTGCAAATTCCAGATGTTTCATAATCCTCAAACTCAATCTTTGTCTACTCAGCCCATCTTTGTTTGGATCTCCCTGTGTGGACCATGGTGTGAAAGTACCTCCAGTCATTAAATCAGGATGATTGTAGAAATCACCTCATTTATTTCTTTTCTGTTTGGGATCACATTTTTGCCCTGTGTCACAGTGTCAGAAAATAGGTATTTCATATATTTTGCACTGTTTTCTAACTTATAAACAAATGCTCTAGTACTTCTTACTCCATCGTGGCTAGGATCCATTGTTATTTTTGCCAGTGGATCCTTTATTCACCAAATAAGAGGCTGGGTTGCCAATTTATTTGCCTTCAGTCTAGTTTTTTTTTTTTCCAGTCTATTCAAAGTCTATTCTGAAAAAACACAGATGAAACCCCCTCCTCAAAAAGTTATCATGGCTTCTTGCTTTTCTCAGAACAGTAATACACAAATCTCTTCAGCATGCAGACAGTTGCAATGGACTTTCCAGTTGACGGTGTCATTTGATAAAACTTAACTTATTTATTTGGATAGTCAAGGGTTTTATCTTTAACTAACTGCAATCCTTTCTAATCGAGTAACTCAGTAAAATGTGAAAAATGTGTTACAGACTGTTAAGTGATATATAAAGATTAGGTATTATTGATTCCTGACCACATATTACCTTGATTTAGGCTTAAATCAGCTAGGAATCTTTTCAGATGTAAATAACAAAAAATCTGGTAACAGTATCTGAAACAAGTAAGGTTTTATTTGTTTCACTGAACAGATCAGAGGAGCCAACTGTTTGCAATGGTTCACTGGCTCACTGTTGTCAAGAATACCGTCCCTCTCTGCAACTATTCTGGTTGTTCTCCCAAGAGCACAGAATGGCTGCCTTACAATTAGGCAACGTATTTTCTTCCAGCCAAGAATACAGAGGTGGGAGAGGTAGGGAGAAGTGGGAGAGGAAGCTGTCTCTTTGATTTTGGTAAGAAAGGAAAAGCTCTCCTGAGAGGCTCCAGCAGATTTCTGCTTATTTGGGATCACCAGAATTTATGTGACAACAATGGATTCTAGGAGAGTGAGTATTTAGGTTTTTTAGCCTCTGTGACAGAATGCAAGGGAAAGAGATTAAGTGAATTAACCAGCAGTGACTGGTAGAGAGTTTACATAATTTTCTTTTCTGAAAATCACACTTACGTCTGTTGTGGTGAAAATAATCTTTACTCATCATTCAAATGAATGCTACAAAAATTTATCTAATCTTACTTTCTTGAACCCCCACAACTCCTATTTATGCCACTATTATTTTTGGTCATTTTTCTGGCATGGTCCTGTTTTAAAGTAAATAATTCAGTATGCATAGTATATGTATCCATCCATCTCTCCTTCTGCTGTCTTTGCTTTTCTTCATGTGTTATCTCATTCTTGAGGATGCCTGGATGATCGTGTTGCAGCTGCCTACACTTCCCAAAGGATGGTATATATTTTAAATTTAATCTTTACTGTATTTTTCCATTATGAGTTAGTCCCCTTACACCCCCCAACCTGCAGCAATCACCACACTGTCATCCATGTCCATGAGTTCTTTTTCCTTTTTTGCTCCATCCCTCCACCCCCTAATTTTCCCCTCCACTAGCTGTCATCTGCTCCCCATTTATGAGTCTCTCTGTTTTGCTAATTAATTGAGTTTGTTCATTAGATCCCACATGTAAGTGAAATCATGTGGTATTTGTCTTTCTCTGACTGGCTTATTTCACTTAGCGTAATGTCCATCCGTACAGCTGCCTAGGATCGGGCTGGCCTGGCAGAGTGTGGCAGGTTTGTTGTTCTTTGGGTGTTCCAGAGGGGATGGGCTTTGAGGCAGAAGCCTGGCATTCTTCCAAAATTGTGTAGATTTTGTATCTTATGTTGTTTTAGTTTGTAAACTAATCCTATAGAAATAAAATAATTAAAAACTAATAGGAGAAATAATAGGGGAATTTCAGAGTTAAAGATTTTAGCTGTAATTGATACGCTTAAGTGATTAAAGCATGTAGAATGCTGTCATTCCAAAACTGTGTAGCTTTTGAATAAAGACTCCTTCCCTGTATCACCAAATCATTGCCTCTGGACTTTTGCCTGGAGAGTGGCTGCAGGTAGCACGCCCTCACTTGCTGTTTGGTAACACGCGTTGAAATATTAAGGGACATGACATGAGCTAACCTTAAATGTGCTTGTGTGGTTCAGCGAGGCTTCTTGTGCCTCTGCCCTATGTCACGAGAACTTCAACCAGGTAGTTACTGGTCCAATCAGGATGCCAGATGTGAGGAGCAGACCTGGGCCTAATCTGCAGCCTTAAAGCTGAGTAGGACCAGTTGACCTATAGACCGTGTTGCATGTTTGTTGTCGGAAGCACTGAGTTATGGGTTGTTTTTTTACACATCTTGCAGTGATATCCGTTAATATGGCTGGATTCTACAATAAATGGCCATGTTTAATAGATGTACTCGTTCTGAATCAGTTACAATTGCTAGTACTTAAATTAGCTAGGCTTGCATTACAACACATTTCACCCTCCCCCACATGCCCAAGTAGCTGAAGATGGCTCAGGAATGGGGGCTACAACATGATCTCACGATATGAGAGAGGAATTTTTCCAAAGGAAAGTGGTGGTTTTTACCAGAAGAAGGGAGTTGGTTTGCAAACATAACAGGCAAAAGTCGTTAAGCACTCTGGTGCTCTTTATACTTCAGTATGCATTGCTAAATTTTAACTTGGTTGTGTGCAGGAATTTTGCCTTACTCAACCTGTATTTATTTTAACACATCAAATCTTCCAAATTGTGCTCATATCACTTAGGATTAGGATTCACTGCAAGTAATATAAACCCCCCAAGTAGCAGTGACTTTAAAAGAGAAGACCTAATTTTTTCTCTTGCATTAAAGTCTGGAGGTGGGCAGTCTAGGGTGGGTGTGGAGGCTCTGATCCACGGAGTCCTCAGGCCTGCATGCTGCTTCTAGCTTTCTGCTTTGTCATCCAGGGGATGTGGATCTTATCTTTGTATGCAAGAAATAGGCCCTTTCATTAAAACCACATTCTGAACAGCAGGGTGGAGGAGAGTGAGAACACGGCACAAAGAAAATAGATCAGCTGCTTTTTAAGGATATTTCTCAGGAGCTGCCACATAGCATTTCTGGTGTCTACTCCTCCACCCCATGGTGGTTAGAGTCTAGCTGAAAGGGAAACTCGGGATCAGGTTCTTATTCTAGTATCCATATGCCCAGCTGAAAGTCAGGGCTTCTCAAAGGAGCATGGAGTTGGAACAGGTGGCAAGCAATCTCTGTACAGTGCTCAATAAATTCTTGAAAAAATATGTGAGTTACGCATTTTAAATTACATAAGAAAAATAAAAAATTGGTTCATAAACAGTGAAGACTAAATTTTCAATCTAAGACTTAATGCTGGCTTTAAAGAGTTTATTTGAGGTTAAAATACCTGTTAAAACTGAAACTGGAAAAGTCATCATGTTGCCTGTCACTACCAGAACCAGTAAGTAGAAACCAGGACTGAATCTTTACGGCTGCTTTGTTCGGATGCTGGTGATGTGAGAAGATGGTGAGTTACACACCCTCAGAAACCACGTTAGCATCTCATCGCAAGCTGACCTTTTTATAAGGAGAAGAAAGCATAGGTAAGGGGTTTGGAAAAAAGGTTAATCAGATAAGAGCTGCAGTCTGGCTGCATTTTTCCTAGTACAGTGTTCCCTTGGTTGTCTTCATCAATTCATCTGGAACCTGTGACAAGTGTCAAAACTGACAAGACTGAACGATGAAGCATTTTCTCTTGAAGGCAGCATTGCGACTCTCATAAGTTCTAGGAAGGGAGGCTGACTCTTGAGCAAGTGATGAGTGCTGAGACATTTTTTCTCGTCAAAATGTGGTGAGTATCAGGTTTGATGAGTTCTGAAGCTGACGAGTACCGAGGAATAGGACTGTACTTCTTTATCTATTGATCAACAATTCTTTATCTGCATCCTTCCTGGAACACAATGGCTCAAATGCCATCTCCAGTTCTTGCAGACTCCATGGG